GCTCCCAGCCAGCCTCCGCTTCAAGAGCAGCAGTGGCAGCAAAGATGCCGATGCAAGCCGACTCTGAAGATGGACCAAGCAGCTTCTGTGGTGTCTTCTCGTCATCACATCCTTCAGTGAGGACCTCAATATCTTCCACATCCTTCACAACAGAGCAACCAAGCTCGAGATGTGCATCGCCGGCAGACCCGTCGGGCAACGGCGACTGTAGAACCAACTCCTCAATCTGGACCTCATCATCATTGACAGCGCACCAGGAAGCAGGCCTGGAGTCGAGCACCACCACCAAGCCAACGCCGAGTGCAGGGACTCGGCCCGCCTGAGGTGGCGAAGGTAGCGTTGGGGCCGCCGCCAAATCCGGCAGAACAAGGAGAGCCTCGGGGATCAAAGCCTGGGACTCCAGCAGCTGACCGGAAGCGCCGCCAGAGACGGAGGGCTGCCGGGTGGCCACCGACCCGGGCAGGGGAGGAGACTCGCGGGGAACCCGCGCACGCCCCCCATTCTCCGCTCTGAACCTGCTCGCGGGTGCAGGCTGCCGCGAGCTACGGGGGACGCGCGGATCCGTGAGGGAGGCCGACGGGGCCGGAGCGGCGGCCGCCGCAGGGGGCTGGTGGGGCGGAGGGCCGTTGTCGCCAGAGCGTTCCAATGCAGGCATGGCTGCTCCCACGGGCTGGGAGAGAGGAGCCATGGCGCCCAGCGGAGCTTCGCGGGGGAGAAGAGAGAGAGCGCTGAGGCGATTCCAGATCCGGTGCCGACGGCTGCAGGGGAGGCTGCGGGGAGGTGATCAAGGCAGCGCCGCCGGCGCGCTCACCCGATGCAGCCGCGGTCGCAAGAGCCTCAATAACTCCTACTTACATATGGTTGGAATGACCGAGGAAATCTGATACTACTACTAGATGAGGTCAGTGCATAGGAGAGACTTGCACCAAATGAGCTTGAATTTCAGAAGCTGGAAGTGGTATGACAGTATTTCAGCTTGGACAGTAGGCACAGCGCCACGGGGGCTTGTGGTTCGCATCCTTTTTGTCGACGAAGCCTTTTTATCTGTCGGGCTGTTCATCGAGCTGGTGCTTACATGTGGAACATGCTGAAATGAGTCAATCGCACCGAGTAGTATCTGCTGCGTTCAACCGTGCTTGCCCGCAACGATTTATGTAGTCATCTTTATTTGTACGCTGAAAACTCAGTTACAGAGTTCATAGGTCCTCTTTTCTTTAACAGAACACACGCAGTTTGACATAGTCTTTGCTACTACGCCTATGGAAATCCACAGATAGCATGCTTCACAAAGCGAGATAGCAGACTAGATTACCACGAGCTAGTCCACTGCACTTCTCATCCGCTAACAGGATTCGATTGGCATGTTCGGCGGGAGTGAAATAGATCAAGGAAGACTCCGTCTTTAGCAGCTTAGGCTGAAGATGCAACATGAGAGCATCTCCAACAGCCGCGGTAAAAAGCGCGCGCGCGGTAAACCGAGTCTTTTGGGCGCACGGGACGTTTCGGCGCGCTCCAGCGATAGCGGAAAAATCGCGCGCGGGAACGGTTTGCGCGCGCGGGGAAAAGGCGGCAGGTCGCGCGCTTTTTTTGCCGCACCGCTTCCGGCGCGCCTATAAAATGCGGCGCGCGCCACACGCCTATTGCACATGCTTCTCTTTCTCTTCCGTTGCCACACGCCCCTCCACCGCTTCCTCGGTTGCTTCCGCTGCTACCCGCGCCACCGCTCCAGCGCCCCGCCACCATGCCGCCGCGCCGCCGAGGAGTGTCGGGCTACCACGGCGTCCGCCAGCGCCCCAATGGCGGGTTCTACTCAGAGACACGGTCCGGCCAACTCCGGCTCGGCCTCGGCACCTTCGAGACGGCGCATGAGGCCGCCCGCGCGTACGACGCGGCGGCGTGGCGCCTAGGCAGGCCGCGCCAGCAGATGAACTTCCACGATGTCCACACCCTGCAGCAGGCGCTGGACGTCGCCCCGCCGCCTCGTCTTTGCACGGCACAAGACCGTGCGGAGCACGTTGAGCGGCAGAACCGCCTCCTCGTTGCCCATGAGGACGAGCGGGTCATGGCGGAGTGGCGCCAACAATACCCGGAGGACGTATCCTACGAGCAAGCCTACTGGGTAAGGCGCCGCGAGGAGGAGACGCAAAGGCGCCGCGCTGAGCGGTTGGACAGGCGTCGGCGGAAGGCCCTGGCGCTATCCCAATGCGATGTAGTCTGATGATGATCGTTGGGAAGACATGTGGCTCGATACCTCGGATCAGACCAGCGAGGATGGCGACGATGACGATGACGACGACGACTGGGAGTAGGCTGTAGCTGCACTAGTAGTTTTTATCTATGTCCTTGCACTATCTAAATAATTTTTATCTATCTATGCTATGGAACTATGTAAAATATCTATGTATCATTTTTTCTATCTATGAATTTTATTAAAAAAAATATACGCACTGTTTAGCGCGCACTGCATTTTAGCGCGGCCGCTGGAGCTACGCGCGCGCGCTCAATTTTAACGCGTCTGCTGAAGCCACCGCTGCCGGCCGCGCCAAACCAGGCGAACGGCGCGCGGCAAATGACTTTTTTGCGCACGGCGCGTTGCGCGGCTGTTGGAAATGCTCTGAGTTGAGGATGCGCTGAACTGGCCGGCCATTCATGTAGGACTTACCAGCAACACGTACAAAAACAGACCAACATTTAGGAAAAATCATTGACAACAAAACAAAAATTTGAAAATCAGGACATTTAGGAAAAATCATTGACAACCAAAACGAAAATTTGAAAATCAGGATTTTGGGGCCTTCTCTCAATCTCTCAAGGAGAAAACACCATTCAAAAGAAATTTTTTGAAATTCACGTTTGGTGGGGCCTTCTCACAAAGAGAAGACGCCCTTCGAAAATTAGGGTATGCTGCTTAGTGTGGCGTGCACTCGGTATTCTTTAGTAAAAGGCGAAAGAATAGTTCCACCACGCAGCTGCGTGCCTTTCACCACTCGAACCACCCGCTCTTATGGGTCAGTCTTTTGGGCAATTCTTCCAGAATCGCCCCTCCCCCTAGCTTCTTTTAGAATCGCCACTTCATATATTTTTTACAATCCTGTTTAGTTAAGGTCTAATTATCTAGGATTGTAAAAAATATATAGAATGGTGATTCTGGGAGAAGCTGAGGGGGGACGATTCTGTGAGAATCGCCGAAAAAAACTGAACCTATATAGCCCAGCTCCCCGCCCTCTCTCCCTTGGCCGGGCGAGGTGGGACTAAACAAACGGTGCAGCCGTCGCACGCTTCACCGGAAAGGCCACGGAAGAAGTAGGCTGTGTTGGGTTTGGGCCTTGCATGCAGGAGGTCGGCCCATGGAGTGAAGTCCCGTTCGCAGATTCGCCGCGGCGTCTACTTCGTTCAGCCTGCCTCAAAAAAAAAAAGTCTACTTCGATCAGCTAGTTGTTGCGGCTGCCCACGCAGATGGCGTTATCTGATCCACGGGACTCCCCCACCGATGTTTGCATCGGATCATAGGCCGTAATTTTCCTTTTTTGTCTTGAAAATCTCCCTCCATGTTGCAGGTCAAACAACACTAAAAGATGCAAGGCGAAGTTTTTTTCCCCACTAAAAGGATGAGCAGCAGCCGCTTGGTTCTAACACCGGAATCATGTGAGTTTTTTCTTCTTTTTTTTGAGGGGCGGAATCATGTGAGTTAGAAACAGCACCGCGGTCAGGCACAAGCTTCGGCCAAACAGTCCCTGGATAAAAATGGACAGCATACTGAGGTTATTCGAGGGGCCACGACAGACGGTCACAGCATCATCTGCTCAATGTTACGATTGCATAACTAGATATTGTGATTTACAACATGAATTAGCTACTACGTACAAAACTTCGCATCGATTAGGACGATGTCAGAGTGTGCAGGGCGGAACTGACTGCCCGGTGTCTGCGACGGGGCAGCAGTTGGTCCACAACGCAAGCCGGAACGCGTGAGCCGTCTCTAGCCAGGTTCACTTCACTCGTCGTGTTTGCGCTTTCTCGCCTGGTCTCTCTTCTTCTGGTCTTTCCTGTCTTGGACCTTGTCTTCGTGGCCCTCGTCCGCCATCCTCATGTTTGCGAGACGCCTCGCTTTGAATACCTTCAATGGTTCATTGACCAGTAAAAATTTAGTTCCCAGAAGAAATCTCTGTCGTAAACTGGGGGTACTAGAATAGCTGTCCAGATGCAAGACTAAGAAGACAAACAAAGATTAGCACTCGGCCATATGCACATATACGAATCCAGTTGTCACACCTTTGTAATATCTTTGGTGACTTCTTTGTCGTCGCACTCGTATGCATCAAATCGATTTCCCACGTCATCTTCTATCTCATGTAAGAGACATATATCCCTCTGCAGAGACATCCCAATCAGCATGCAGGTTTTAGTAAGAAGTACACAGTTTTCATTGGGAATTAATAAGTTAACATAACGCATGAAAACAAGAGCACTGTTTCATCAGAAAATTTATTGCACTCCTACTGTGTACATTTCTTATTTGATCACTTGTAATATACTCCTGCATGTTTCCATATACAAGAGCCAACTGGTAGGTAAAATTTCTACTTTGCAAAAGAGTGATTTCTGTGAGGTAAAATTCATAACTGGCAAAGAGCGGTTTCTGATAAACGTGCATGCTTGGAGATTAGTTGCTTCTGCCATCCTACTTTGCAAAAGAGTGAATTCTCTGAGGTAAAATTCATAACTGGCAAAGAGCAGTTTCTGATAACGTGCATGTTTGGAGGTTAGTTGCTTCTGCCATTGAAGTATTTCAAGTTACTTAGAAGTTAGAAGTAGTTTCGAGTTTTCTAGTTTGTATGGAAAGCTCCTCCATATATTTTTATCGGTACATATCAAATTGCTGGATCCGTTACCCATCAATGTTGACATGAGGAGAAGACTCATAAGGTGGATTTTTCTTTCAAATACAAGAGGGCAAATGATAACTGGATCACGGTAAAACATCATCAAAACTCGGACATTCAGCAGACCTGGGTCACAAAGCTTATAGAAAGCCCTCCCCTGGTAGCTCTTGCAGTTCGCCCAACCCTATGGATATAATCACGCGGAAACCTAAAAGAAATCATCACACGCATCAGTCAGGTATTCACATTCATCAAAATGTGCTGGCGAGGAAGACTTACTATTGAAATAAAGCTAGCACAAGATACCTTGGAATGTCATAGTTGATAACAAGATCAACAGTTTGGATATCCAATCCACGACTGGCCACATCGGTAGCAATCAACACAGGGACCTGACCAGACTTAAAACGATGCAACGCTGAAAGCCTTTGTGACTGAGCCTTGTGAGAGTGCAAAGAAACAGCAGGTCGACCAAGCTCTTGCAACACAAAGTCCAAATATTGGCATGTCCTATGTGATAATATAAGTGATTTCAGCAACTTCTCAAGAGAGCATTGAACTTTAAACAGTCTACAAATCAAACGTAAAGAGTAACACGCAGCATTCCATCCGACTGATCTAACCAAAAGAATAATTCAGAGGGACTTCTGAATACAGGGATTGACAATTGCAGGAGCAGGTAAACTGAAATAGGCATATCTTGGGGAGATGCGTGCATAATAACAAAACAAATCCTGAATTTGGCACTCAAAACAAAATCAACAGCAAACTTCTGCTTTACGTAAAAAAAAGGTTCATGAGAGGATCTATGACTCTATGCAACCTATTACTAGGAACAATGAATAGTTATGGTGTAGGGAAGCATACCTGCAAGTTGAAACAAATACAATGGCTGAACGTATATTATCTTCCTTCATTTTTGACAGGAGATACAGAAGATGGAGCTCTTTTCCATCCGGAGGTATATGGATATACTGTTGCTTTAAGTTCTCAACAGTCTTGAACCCTTCGTATGCCTCAAAAAAGTACGACTTGCTTCCCGAAAGCTCAAGCAAAGATCGCAGATTATCCGACATTGTCGCAGAAAATAGAAATGTTTGCCGCTTCTTTGGCAAACAATCAAATATCACCTTGAGGTCCTCCTCGAAATTGGCATCTACAACTCTATCTGCCTCGTCCAACACAAGAAACTGCAATAGAAAAGACAGCATACATTAGAAACCTGAAACTAGCGGAAGAGGAAATACTAGAAATTCTAGGATGCATGGATACGGCAAAAATATGGCATATTGGAGGTTAGATACGTCTGGACACGGGGACACCTCCGGATGCCCCAAGATACATATCTGGCGATTTTCTATTTTCCAATAAGTAAAAAAGAAGAATAACGGTCGGATACACCCCGATACCGGTGCGACACGGGAAAACCCTAACCCATCTATCCATACCCACGGCATGCCCCTCCCCCTTTCTTGCCTCGTTCTCACACATCCGTGCCTCCATCCCAACCTGAGTGCCACACAGCCACCACATGGGATAGGAAGGTGGCCTTCGCTGTCTCCTCCCCTGGTCTGAGCGCCGCCGCACCGGAGAAGGAGAGCACCAGGCAGGGCCTCATCGGCAAGGAAGAAGAGGGCCAGCCTTCGGTGCTCCCTGTCCGCATCTGTGCGCCGCCACTGATGCTCCCTTGCTTCCTCTCCCCCATCTAGCTCCGCACTTGAGAAGAAAGAGCTAGCAACTGCTCCACTGACAGACCTGAGCATCGCCTCCATCTCCTTCAGTTCCTCCCAGGCTCTGAAGCGAGAGGAAATATTTTCTTGGCCATGGTGAGACTTCACCCTTTATAACCTTTGTTTGCTAAGTTGGTCTTCTCATTGTATAATGTTGTATGTGCTTCACACTACTTTAGGATGTGCCGGCAAATGATCTAGGTAACAAGCCTTTGTGGATATCTTAGAAAGAGGTGCAGGAGGTGGAGGTGTGTGATTCAGATGCAAGTATTGTACTCATGAATATAGAGGTAGCTACAGAAGAATTAAAGCACATTTGCTTAAGATGTCCAATAAGGGGATCGGATCGTGCCCAAATGTGACGTGCCCTACTCTTCAGCAGCTTCAAATCGAAGTTTCAGTGCCTGAAGAAACCTAGGACAATGTTTACGGTGCATTTTCCTTGGTAGTAAACTGTCTTCTTTTCATATATAATTATTGTTATTATATTTTAAGATGTTTATTTCATATATACAAATGTATCGCGGTATCTGCACTATTCAGAAAAAAAAGTTGTATCACGCTATCGGCATCCGAGTAACCTAGCTAAAATTCTAGATGCTTGAGATGCAGTTAATTGCTTACTGTAGGAACAAAGATCACTCAAATTCCGGTGATCACACAGAGCAAATCATGAACCACTTATATTACGCAAGGAGCACAAATAGAATTACC